GGAGGGGCGGGAGGGGAGCGAGGTCCTGCTGAGGGCTCGCTGGCGGTGCGTAGGCCGTGCCGGGGGCCGCGGCGCAGCCGGGCTTCAGTTGTATTTATTTATTGTTGTTTTTTTTTAACGCTTCTTTCATAACATCAGCAATTCATTAATTATTGTTTGCCTGTTCATTTGGCTATATTTTCTTTTCTGTTGCTTTCTTTTGTTTAACATTGATCATGTTTCACCCTGTTTTTCATTCCCCCCTGTCTGCAATCAACTTCTTCATTCCAATAAGGCTGGGCACAGAGTAAGTTTACTCCTCTTGGCTGTTGCTAACACCGGTGGTAAGGGCTTGTTAATGTTACTGGATGATGCGAATGTCAGAGGGTACATATGATTTAGGGGCTGCCATTCAAGATTGCACCTGAATTCCTAGTAAAAGCCAGGTGTTGTAACATTCTTTGCCACTGTTTTATGTTGCAGATACCTGTGATTATTAAACACGCTTCGGTGCTTTCAATTTGTTCTTGTTATTGCAGCTTGACAAGCTTTTTTGTAATTAATGGGAGCTCAGACATGGTTTGGGGGGAAAACATGGGGCCCGCCGGTTTGTTGGCAAAGGAAAGGGCCTTTGTTGCCTGCACGCACCCTGCTGACCTTGGTGGGGTTATGTGTTTTCAGTGGCAGTATAATTTTATTAAACATTAAATACGTAACTGGTATCGCATGCCTGAGTCCCTTAAGCGTCAGTAAGAGACTCTGTTGCCACTTCAATAATCAAAATCACTTGTTACCCATTTTTTACTTGCATTCAGGTATGTCCTTTCCAGATAGTAAGAGCATTTTTCACTGGGAACTCTTGAAAGACGGTCAAAAATGTGTCTTTTTCATCCTCCCCTGTGTTAGTTTTCAATTGATAGCTCGCTGATTTAAAACCCCCTTGTATTGCTTTCCTGATACTTTCAGCCATCTGTTCCCCAAAGATGCATGGCTTTGATGATGGCACTGAGACGTTCTTAGTCTAAAAAAGCCCCCAAACAACAATGACTGTTAGCATGAAGATGGCTGCACGGCCTAAAAATGTAAAAAGCGGACATGAACAGAGGTAATTTCTTAGCACAGTGACTGCTGCTTTTGTGTAGATCGCTCTGGGCTGTGTCTCTTACGAACACGTGTGGTCGCTGCCATTTTAGGAGCTGTCTCACTAACAACACATGGTTGGAAGAGAAACTGTCTCTGTAATACGGAGCTATTCATCAAGTGACCAGGGAGGACTGTCTCTAGATCCAGTGTTTTTACAGCTCAATGGCATAACATCCCATGCTTTAGAGAGCTTCTCATGCCCTTTTTGCATAATTAATTTATTGCTGTGTTGCTCGCATTAATAATGTCTTTATTTGCAGATTTAAAGCCTGTGATTTTAACTATGGTCTTGCTTCATCTGCATCCTTAATTTTGGAGCCCCCATTAAATTTGTATTCTCCTTGCATCTGCTGTATTGGAACTAGGAACGTGTAGAACTGGTAACAGAACCACTGTGTGCAGCAGGCTGGCTTCTCTTCTCTGCAGTGCCCTATTTGGGTTTTTTGAATTTATTTTTCCCTTTTTTTTTTTTTTAAACTGTTAAGTCTTGTTCTGTTGTTCAGTGGTTCCTGCAATACAGGCTCTGAACGAGCTTCCTGTCCTGGTCAGCTGTTAACACATGCTGCAAATTTGCTGCCTTTTTTTTTTTTTTTTTTTTTTAATTTTATTTTTGATAAGGAAGAAACCAGAAGTTAATTCAGGTAGAAAGAAACTTGAATGAAGAGTTTTAAAGGGAAGTGGCCAGTTTAGCCAGGTCTGTGCTTGAGAACATGTACTAGAGATGTCCTGTTTTTTTGGATGTTTAAGGGAAAAAAAAAAAAAAAAAGTGGGGTAGTTTATGGTAGTTCCCAAATTTGTGTGGAGTACACGAGTGGTAACACGTTTCTGGTTTTGTAGAGCCTTGCAGTGGCTTTCAGCAACAACATAAAAAACCCCTGTGGACTGGTGTGTTCGTGAGGCTCCCCTCCGGAGCAGGTTCTGCGTTAGCAGAGGCCCTCGCTTTCCCTCAATGTAGCAATATGCCATCACCATTTCATTCTTTATTTCGGTAGCTTTTACATCCGAATGCAAAGTTACGGAACGGAAAACATGGCAATGCTTTCTGTTCCCTAATGATTCTTGTCTTAATAAGTGTCTGTAACGATCTTTCTCTCCTGTCGTGCCACCTGATCAGTTGGTGTTAGTATTAGGAGACCTTCACATTCCACATCGATGCAACAGCCTCCCGGCCAAATTCAAAAAACTGCTGGTTCCAGGAAAGATCCAACATATCCTCTGCACAGGAAACCTCTGCACCAAGGACACTTATGACTACCTCAAGACTCTGGCTGGGGATGTTCATGTTGTCAGAGGGGACTTTGATGAGGTAACGTCCTCTCTTGACATTTTTGGCGCATCTTTTACATAAAGGCAACATTTGGGTTACTTGTAATTCAAGTAAAAGCCGGCAAACCGGGGTTGTGTAGGACTAAGAGCACGTGAAGAGCAAACTGGGCAGAAGAGGTGGGGTTACGGTCAGTAACGTGAATTGCAGAGCAAGTTCTCGTTGTCATCAGTATGAAGAAAAGCAGTTTGTGTGCTTGGCTGGGTCTGGGGCTCCAGCAAAGGGGCCCTGCTGTGTCAGGTTGCTGAAGTTCCTTGCATCCTACCTCATTCCTCTCAGCATTCATAAAAGCAGCTTTGTAGCAGTAGGGCTAATTGCACGGAGTTTCCCTAAGCTTTCCCTCGCTTCTTGGTGTTGCATAGAGTTGTTTTTAAATATAAATCTGTACATCTAATCGGTTTTGGTTTGTTTCTTATTTTTAGAACCTGAATTATCCCGAACAGAAAGTTGTGACTGTTGGACAGTTCAAAATTGGGCTGATTCATGGCCATCAGGTTATTCCTTGGGGTGATATGGCCAGCCTGGCACTGCTACAAAGGCAATTTGATGTGGACATCCTAATTTCAGGACATACACACAAATTTGAGGCATTTGAACATGAAAACAAGTTCTATATCAATCCAGGATCAGCTACAGGAGCCTATCATGCCTTAGAGAAGTAAGTGAAGTATGGGAAATATCTGTGGGCATTTTCTTTTTGGTAACAAAACAGAACTACAAAACTCACTATGAAGGTTAATGTTTACATGCTAGGTGTTGGGGAGAGGAAGGGCTGATGGTACCTGCTAAATCTTTGTGGCTGAAACAGATGAGGGTGAAATACTTAAAGCTTCAGAGCTGATGTACTGGGCTTACAAAGTTCATCTCCATTTTTCTTAACAGAAATAGCTTTAACTAGTGGTGAAACACCGTTAAGCGATTATATTCACAATTAATATGAATCGTTTCCTCTCTTTCCAGCAACATCATTCCTTCATTTGTGCTGATGGATATCCAGGCTTCTACAGTAGTTACATATGTCTATCAACTAATTGGAGATGATGTGAAAGTAGAAAGAATTGAGTACAAAAAATCTTAAAAATGTTTTTGCTTGCCTGGTATTTTTACCATTTCATTCTGAACTGCAAGTTACTACAAGACTTGATTGCTAGTTTACAGTACTCTACACTTCCTCGCTAACAGCTTAACAATGTAGCTTGATCGGTAACAACTTTAAAACAACATTGTGTTTGCTTTTCTCTGTATGAATTATTTGTAAAATATTCCATTAAAATGACTGTTTAAATACTGTTCCTTAATGTTGTAATAAACTCCACTTCATAGAAAAACTGAGCTTTATGAACTGTTGTTGGGGAAAAAAAGGCAGCAGGTAGAGTTGCTTTGAAAAGGCCCAGCACTCCGGTTCGGTGACTGACCTCTAAGGGATACTGGAAGAAAAAGATGGAGGGCTCTGGGGCTGTGTTACGTTTGCTTCAGTATCCAGTTGATATTTCATTTTCTCAATTTAACATTCAAAATTATGTTAAAAGAATAAATTGGATTGATAGGTTCTGAGAATATTACAAACTTGAGTCTCTCTATAATCAGAGCAGTTTCAAATACGGCTGTGCCTGATGGAGGGGGTCTCCTTACATCTCTGACCAGCGAAGAGAGGCTCTCCCCTGCTGTCTGACACTACAGCTGTTCTCTGCTCTGCGTACAGAGGTTTTAAATAACATCAGCCCTCACGCCCCTGGTACTGCTACTGCAGACTAAACCAGGGGCTGTTCAAGAAGACCAGACATTTTGGCTCTTCCATTCTCATGACTGCAGGGAACGGAAGGTGTTTTAACAGCTCCTCTTTCTCACGACTGCTAACTGCAATAAACCCAGAGTTTTATCTGTTGCCTTCTCCCAGAGGACATTCAGAAGGGGGGGGCCTGTTCCCTCTGCAGCTGCTGACCTTCGTACTACGGCTTTTTCCAGTGCAGCCTCTGGGAAAAGCTGTGCAGTGTTTGTGATGAAGGAATGAGTTACCCTTTTCCATAGACCTTGAGGATCAGCTAGAACCCTTACCTCTGTGCCATAAGCTGACTTAACTTCATTCAAGAGAAACCGGCTTTACCGTAGAAAAAGGTGAAGTGTTTCAGCCAGTGGGCCAACTGCTATTTCATGCAGTGACACACACACCCGTTGCTTTATCCTGTTGCAGACATACAGAAAGAACAAAGTCGAAAAGAAAACTGGCACACAATATCCAAGGAAAGTTAGTGACTGGGTGGAACATGAATTTCCTGACAATTTCATAATTAAAAAAGGTTTATAGACTACTGTAAGGCCAAAATTGATACATAAGTCTCTTTATTTGTGCTCACTGTAGTTAAAATTACAAAGTTTATTTTACATGAAGTACACCACTTAGAGGTTTTAAAAAAGTTTCTCACAATTATGTAAAGTTACGCTCGTATGAATGAGCCTGACAGCAGACCTAAACATGGAGAAATACAGATGTAAAGGAAATAAACTTTAATCCTTCCTAAAATCAAAGTGCTGAATGTGAGCATTACTGTTGAATGCAAACAGGAAATTCTGCTGTAAGTCCGAACTCTTTCAATGGGGCTAGAGCATGGAGAAGAAACAGCCTAGAACAGTTAAAAAAAAAAAAAAGAAAAATGGAAAGCTCGGCGTAGCTTTTGGTAAAAAAGCACTGAGGTTCTGGTTTAATATTCACTTGCCCAGAACGAGCGTTCTCAACGCGTGGCCTTTGTCTTGCCAGTAGAGGGAGAAGAGAAAAAGGTAAATCAAGACCTTATCGATGACAGTTCTAGGACACAGGTCTCCTCAGGTCCATTCAGATACACCTGGAAGGTTAGAGAACAATTGAAGAGGGCTTAGGAAAATGGGATATAATCCAAGACCTATGAAAGTACTTGGAAGCATAAGGCTTAGCATGGCACAGATTTGGTTCAAGTAAAATTAATTACTTGCATTAATAAAGGGTTATATTATTATATACAATATATTTTACTAAAATAACTTGGCTAAGAAATATTTTTGCTAAAAATTGAGTGAAATTCTTAGTTTAGGAAAAAAAAAAACCCTGCATGAGGTTTGTTTTACCTTCAGAAGATCAGATGAGGGTATGTCCACCAGAGCAGGATTTCCACATTTCTCTTGATATTCTTGAATTAGGGCTATTGCATCATCAATGCTGTAGGAAGCAAGTCTGTCAACTTAAGCTCTCCAAAAAGCCAAGAATTTAGACTATGTACACTGAAGAAGAAAAGTAGGGTACGACCACATTTTTGAAGTCAGATAAGTCCTGTTATTTCTCAGCAGAGGAAAACAAGCCAAGCCAAGCCTTGCATTTAACCTGTGGCTGTTAATAAAACTAACGTATGCTACAATCTGAACAGTTATTTATCGATTCCTGCCCCATTTTGGCTCCAGGGTAGCTGGTAACAAAGTGACTTGCAACACTGGGCATGCGGGGCCCCAACGTCGGCAGCTGTGCGCAATGAGCCCAAGTGCTGTCCCTCAGGGCTAGATCCCTGAGGGAGAACTGCCCTGCAGGAGGTGGGGTGGCGAGACCTTGTTTTATTGAAGTGGAAGGTGAGAGGTATTTCTAACTCTTGAAAAGCTCATCAGCAAACCCCCTCATTCCCAAGGCTGGAGGACAGGCAGTTCATTTATTTTTTTGGAGTGTTCTTATTGCTGAAGCTGCGACTCCACGATGCCACTGAGCTGAGCTCACCTGAAGGCAAGGTGAAGTGACTCAGAAGCGTTTGGTGTTTCTGTCAGGTTACTTTTGCTACGTTAACTGCGTCTGATGTGCGTGCCAGTGCAGGCTCAGTGAGCTGTTACCTTGGCTTGAATGACCCTGTAAAACTCTGTCCTAAGTATGCAGAGTAGTGAGGGGAGATTTTTTATTTTGTTTATTTAACTTAGCAATACTTTAAAAATTCTTGGAGACCAAGTACTAGAAAATCTCCATGACTTCAAATAAATGAAAATAAAATCAAGGAGATTCAATTCCTGTAATTGCTATCAGTCATGGCATCACTTGTCATCTTAACTTACCAGTTCTTTTTTGCAAAATAATCCACCAGTTCTTTTATTCGGTGAGTATTCATCAGTTGTTGCTTCAACAGTGGAAAATACTTTGTTTTCAAGAATTTTTCATATAGCTTCTCGTTTATGATACTGTCCAAAACCAGAGATCTAATCTGTAGATTTAAGTTTTAGTAATGGAACAGTATTAATATTTTAAACAGGAGAAATTTTACTTTTGAATGACAAAAGCTCAGACTCCCATAGAACAGGATTTTTTAAATTTGTGGGGTTTTTTAGTGCTGTGAAATGGCAGTTTTTGTAAAGACTGATCTCAGATTCAGACAGGGGAATGAGTTAAGAAAGTTGCCTTTAGGGCGGCAGCCCAAGGCAAGGCAGGAGAGAGCGCAGTTTCATAAGCCCTTTAGCCTTTTTGCTCCAAACATTTATTTAGAAACACAAAGTAGCAGTGCTGCAAACAGTGCTGTCCTACCAACAGGGGCAGCCTGCACACAGCACTGCGTATGTATGTTAATAAAAGTGTAACAATATTAATAAAAGTGTAAAACTCCCTACAAACGTTGCTGTATTTTACAAGCGTGCATTGTGTCTACTGATGCTTGGCAAGATCAGGGGAGAGAGACAAGAAGATTCTGCATACACTTATCTATCAAAAAAGCCTCTAAGTCAAAGGCAAGTGAAGGAAATTTTACCTACTTACCTGAGAAGCAAATGCCACTACTTCTCCAGTGTTCATGTGTTCATCAATTTGTTGCAGCACGGTTTCTGCGTCACAGGTTGATAAGAAGCTCTTGCAAAAAAAGTTACAAAACATTAATAGTCTGTGAATGATTGAAGTTGAAACGCTCCCTTCAGAGCAAGTATTTCATTTATTCAGGAACAATTAGTATTTTGAAATTCTAGGTACAAACATGAAATTATCAAACCTGGATGTGTGCAGCCTGACTGAAAGAGTAGTACTCGTCGCTTTCAACTCTCAAAGGGTATTTTGCTGTAGCTGTTACAGATTTTGACTCATTCCCAGCAGACTAAATGACTGACATTAATGCTGTAATTTGGGAAAATCTTTCTGAGCTTAACTTTATTGACTGGAAGTCATAAGAATTTAAGATGCCTTTACCAGGGCCAGTTTGCTCATGACAAATATGGGAACAGCCTATAATGCTTCACCTGGGAGAACAATGCAGGGCACAAACTAAGGGAGACAAATGAGAAGAGAAAGGAAACGTTGAGATACATGAGAGTGAGGATATGGCTCTATGGCAAAAGGTTTACATCAGAACTTGTAAAGCATGTCAAGCATCTTTCCAAGAAATCAGGAGCTTTTGCTCAACACTTTTCCAAAGTAGGATTCAGCACTTTTCTTGCAATCTGCTGTGAAACTGCTGGTGGTAGCTCCTCAGCAATTATGTGTGTTATCATCAGCTTCATGCTGTTCTGGCAGGAATATGCCTATGGCTTGGGTTTTTTAGGGTTTTTTAATTGGTTTTATGGGCAGGATCCCATAAAACATCCTCAAATCCACAGAAGGCAAAGTCACATGACAAAGCTGCTGAGGATGACTAGCTGGTTCTGCTTTAAAAAATACCAACAAACCAAAACAAACCAAGAGGAAGTGTTTCCATGATCCCTTTCAGAAGGACAAATTCAGAGCAATAGCCTTTGTGGGTGGGAAATGCCAAGCAGCTGCCAGCAGTGACATACTTAAATAAGCTGGAATTACAAGCTACCATCTTTCACAGTTTCTGGTGAACGTAACGTGCTTAAAGACATTTCCCTTTCACAGACACAACACAAAACTTATTATTTACCTGAATTTGCTGCTCTCGCTTCTCAGACTGAGAAATGAGCAACAGGCACCCCAAAGCAAAAGCCAGAAGGTCCAGCTGTGCATATTGTTTAGCTATTCCGATGACATCCAAGTCAGCCAGAACAGGACACCTTCAGAAGAAGATGAGGAGTGAAGTTCTCTGCTATGACAAGTGTAACTGCATGGCTTAGTACTGCCCACAAAACTGCACTGGGATTTTTAAGCCAGGTAAAACAATGCATTTTTATATCATCTTATTTTGAGAAATGGCCAAGCTGTGTTGAAGTTTCCCAGAATACAAACACATAATGACTTTCTAGCTTGAAAATCCCCTCAACTCCAGTTTCTCTTTCTAAACACCCAAGGCCCTATTTTGAGAGGAAGTGTTGGCCAGCTGCCCAGAGGAACGCTTTGGTACATACGTATATGCACAGTAGGGTAGGCATGTTCTTCAGCTGGATCCCTTTC